GTTCTGGTAAGTCCTTTGAATCTGGTGGCACATCTGTGATTTACTGTCGATAAAAAGTAAATACAAAATGATTAAGGGCGAGCAAGCACAAAGAGCGTAAACTCATAAAAATAGTATCTATTATATTTCCTTTAGTCAAAACGTGAGATGTGAAATGAAATTTTCATTAAACTAAACATCACTCTTGCCATGCAGAAGAATGATGCAGTATTATTAAATCTGCATAGCGTAATCTAACGTATTAAAGAAGTACTGGGATTTCCTCAGTGTAAACTCGCGTACCGAATAAAAATCGTTTTTCTTTGATGAAAAGCAATCCCATTGGTCATGGGATTTTTCTCGTTAGTTAAAAATATCGTTTGACTAATCAGAAGGGTAATACGGGTTTTTTTCACAAGTGGGAAAATTGTATCGGTTTTCCTGCCTTTTGGAGCGGCATGCGAAGTAATTGAGAGTGAATGTCTGCAACGCTCCTGAAGGTAAGATTAAATTTTTCACCCGTATTCAGTGCATAATTTTGATAGCATAACTGCATAATTATAATAGCAAGAGCATCGAAGATAATGCCGAAATAATGACGTAAGTTAAAAAAAAACCCCTATGGTGTTACACTTTGACAAAAGATGAATTCTGTAGCCTGAGTAATGGCCATAATGAAACTGCTTTTCTTTCTCCCACTTAAAGAATTTGCAAGTTTTTCCTTCTGATAGTAGGAATGGGGAGGGGAGAGGGATGGGGAGGAGAGAGAGAGAGGGGGAGGGAGGGGGAGTGCATGCGCTTATTCAACTGATTACGTGATATCTATGCGCAGTGCATGATGCGCAGTGCATGATGTGCAGTGCATGATGTGCAGTGCATGGCGCGTAGTGCAATACTAAAGAATAATGAGCTAACACATTGTTATTTTGAGTTTATTGAAAAATTCTAAGCATGATGTTTGGCATAACGACATTTTTCCAGGGGGAGACACTCGAAAACAATGTTACTCGAAACTAATCTGAAACTAAATGCCACTTTCAATGAGCATACGCTGATCATACATGAGCGTGTGTACAGGAAGACGGATAATTCAGGTCTTCAAGAACGCCATACTGAACATCTAAGCTAATTAAAGTGTTGACATGTCGTATAAAGTATTGTCCAATAGGAGATTTTGTTTTAAATCGCACACAATTTTCAGAATTTACAACACAAAGCTACGCAATTTCAGGCCGTGAATTCGAGTAAACAACGATTCAAGCATGGTAAATCTATTACGCGAATCTTTTACATGCAAGAAATTGGTACGTTTTTTTCGCTTCTAAGCAGTAAATTTAGCTTTCCTTTAAAAGTAGCTTTAGTCTGGAAAATTTTCTTGGTCTACAAGCTTAGGATGATCTTAGCTTCGTCTCGAACAACTCACGAGTCTCTCGTGCTCTCCAAACCTTCCGCATGTATCCATGGCATATCTGGATATACGCACGCTAAGCATGAAGAACATGATACATTCTGCACTGCAACTGAGGCGAGCTCGTGACCGATCATCTTCCTCAGATTCCAAGTCATAAACACGGCCATGCTGGTTGTCTTCTGATGATCTTCATGGATGATCATGGATAATCACAACTTCTGGGAAGCTCAAGGAAATTCGCCCAATAAGGAAACAAGGAAAGGAAATAAAGCTGTTTTCGATAACACCGTACCTTATCACATCCCTTCTGAAATCACTGGTCATTTGGTCAAAGGCCAAACGGAAGTCATGTCACTGACCATATCAAATATCTCTTCCTCCTTAATATGACACGTTTGATCAGAGAAGGGATGCTACGTGGCCTGGATTTTCCGGGTAATTTCTCTGAATTTATGTAGATTACGTGCTTCATTAATGAACGTGATAAGGATATCATAGTCAAGTTATTTACCCGTGTGTGATTTCGAGTAGTTTCAGACTTCCTTTCCATTTGATTAGCTCCATCGCTCCCTTGTTAAAATTCTTATTTTAGAATGGTAGCTGAGAGTTTACATTTAAAGGAAATTCTTTAGGATACAAAAAGGCACGTACAGAAGGAAATGCCTCACAACGAACAAAGTCAGTGTGTAAACATCCGATTATGGCCGTCATTCATCTGTATTCATTAACACGGCAGCTAGATCAAGTAACAGATACTTAACAGTTTCGTTTGCTAAATTGAAAGATTTTGTTAAACTTCTTTGAGGTTAAATTTTGTAAAATAAACAAAAGGTCAATATGCCTAATTAAGAACTAAGGTTGTACTAAGAAATGTTAAATATATTTCAGAGAAAAATTTACCTCTGTTCCAGAGGAGATCTAACAAAGCAGTCATGAGGTACTGTAATAGTTCTTGACTGACAAATGATAACTCGCCCCTTCAAAAAAGCGTTAGCTAATTAAAAAAAAAAAAAAAAAAAACCTCGACAATTTTCAATGGGCATGCATTATCTATGCGTGAGTTTATGTACAGGAAGATAGACAATTAATGCAGTTTTCTAATTCTCTGAAATGGGCTCTAGGTCTCCAGGAACACCATACTGAACATCTGATGGCTTGGCCGCTTTCATACTGCCGCATTTTTCTAATTACAACACGGTTTTCTGTGATACTAACAACTGGCCGGGTCAAAATAACTAAAAATATCCCGCATTTCCTCAATCAAAAACATTATTGTTTCAGTTTAACAAGATTTGCAGCATAAGGCGTCTGAAATTTGTACCGTTAATACCTATGGTTAAGTTTGAAGATGAAAATCTATCACACTGCGTCAGAAAGGTCTAACACTCGGTATTTAGAACGTTTAAGAATTAATGCAGAATACGTGAGTACCGTCCAAAGGCCAAACGAAGATCACGTCAGTCACAAACTTTATCAAATTTCTATGCCTCCTCAATATGTCACGTTTGATCAGGATAGGAACATTTCATTTCCGGGAAATTCTATATATTTGTAGGGGTACGTGCTTCATTAAAAACGTGATAAGGATATCAGAGTTAAGTTGTTTACCCGTGTGTGACCTCGAGTAGCTTGAGACTTCCTTATGATTTAGCTCCATCGCTTCCTGCAGTTTACATTTCAAGGAAATTCTCTAGGATATAAATAGACGCGTACATAAGGAGATATTTATTTCAGTCATAAACGTAAAGTAACCAACAGAGTATGGCGAAGCTTCAGATACTCGCTGCTATGTTATTTTTCTCATCCAAAACAGGAGTAAGTTCCGTCGGAACAACCACCAGTCCTCAACAACAGACACAACCTGGCGCCGCTGACAAAGACCCATGTGAGGTACTCTTAAGCATGCTTCATCCACAGTTATTTACTACAAAATCGCATGTACTTCATGCCGAGTTCATTTGTCATAACTCAGTTTACCACTCATGTCTCCCTAATCAATCATAAGTTTTCAAAGACAAAGTAGAGCATTGCTGTAAAAGAGTTCTTTTTTACGAATATCTTCAGAATGTTATGAGATCATTCAATGTTCCTAAAGCGAAGCTGAATTCTCAACGTGAGTTTATTCTAAAGAAACTGCTGTGCTACTTCGGCGGACATGTAAATATCAATGAATATCAAGTACGTCCATCCAATTACCATAAGTTCTTTTTTCTTTCTCAGAAATCTGTTTTTGCTCGCGGATTTTCTGGGATTCCAGGATCGAATGGCATACCAGGAATGCCGGGAATTCCTGGCGCTCCAGGACCGCAAGGACCACAAGGAAAAGATGGAGCTAAGGGAGAGCCTGGTGTCAAGGGACCAAGAGGTATGACGGGAACAAGAGGACAAAAGGGAAATCCAGGGTCTCTTGGTAAAAATGGTGCACCTGGAATGACGGGAATAAAAGGAGATAAAGGTCATGAAGGGTCACGTGGCAGCAGTGGACCGCCAGGAACCAAGGGTGTGAAAGGAGAGCAGAGATCTAAAGGAGAGAAAGGAGAAATCGTGAATAGTGCAGTGTCACAGACCAACTGGAAACAGTGTGTGTGGAAAAATGAAGATGGTAGAGACAGTGGAAAGATTAAGGTACAGAAATATCTAGAAAATGCGATAAAAAATAAGATTGAGTGTTAGAGCCAATTTGTCATGGCCATCTCTGAAAGAGACTTTTGAGAAATGCAGCCAAACTAAAAACATCAATTAACAATTCTGTTCATTCTTAAAGGCAGGAAAGGTAGAAGGGCATTATTAAATTTTTTCCTCTTTTATGCATTTTGTTGCACTAAGACTGTATTCATGGCATTTTTTTTATGGATTGCTCATTCAACAAGCTGCAGTCTGATACAGCCATTAAAGTCTCATTCCAGGGAAATACACAAGTCTATGGCACTTCTAAATGCAATCGGTGGTTCTTCAAGTTTAATGGAAATGAATGCAGTGGACCAATGACAATTGAGGCTGCTGTGTACAACATTTGGCCATCTGGGAGTCCTAGTCTGCTTCATCACAGATCATTTGAGGGATACTGTGAAAACATTCCACAGGGCAGGGTTACTGTAGAGTTATGGGTAGGGCAGTGTCACAGTAGTTATACACTGGGTGATTCTAACACTGGATGGAACTCAGTATCCCGGATAATGATAGAGGAAGTCTCTAAGGCCCAGTCCTGATTACTCTCGTCGCTTTCATACAAGGAATGGTGAACAATATTATATTATCACATCATCCTAGCTTTCAAGATTTTCCGCCACTATTGATATCCTAAAGTGCGTAATGTTTTACTTTTTGTCACAAACATCTTTTTCATTTCTAAAAAAATTTCCCCTACTTTTTGTGTGATTGTGGTACAAGATAATTAGGTTTCATCATCTGAGTTGATAAGGTTACTGATTTCTTTTCAATCGCGCGAGAAGGAGAAACTGTTCGTAATATAAAACTCACATATATTTTCCAAAGTAGAGGTGGCTGGTGGAAGATATTTCCCGAGCTGCGAAGCGGCGAAGAAAATATCTACCCTTGCCACCCACACTAAGTTGAATAGCTGTTTAAGTAAATTATTATATACCAAAGCAGTGAGTTAATATAGCACAAAAAGATTACTCATTTATTCTCGCAATGACTGAAATAAATTTCAGGTGCAAATCCGGTGCGCGTTGCTTAGAGTTGAATAACAAAGGGAATTCGGAATTTAAGTAGTCAATCAGAGCGCGATTTCAACGCTATCCACTATCTTAGAACATACTTATAATAATTTTTTTCTTAATTTTACCATTGTAATTATCGGTACTATTATTACCATTAATTTTAATATCGAAGAAGTTTTTCAAATAATTATCAAGAAGTGGGTGCCTACCATTAGCTTCAATTTGTTCGTGCTCAAATATTCTGCAGGTAAAACTGAATATTTCAGCCATTATTCATTGACTGGCTGACTTAGTCAAGTGACAAATAATGAGTGGTTCCGTTTATTGATTAGAACTTACCTCAAAGCGTTTGTCACAGTGTGCTGTCAACTTCTTGGAAGCTAGTTTTTGAAACATAGACGAAGAGTCACTATGCTCATTTAAGAAAAAAGCGTTTACCATGGAATACATTTACCTTCAAGCTTCATCAGCCAAATCTGTAATTATCATTTCTCTGCTAAATTCATTATTTTCGTGGCACTGAGTAATGCTTTATATATTTCACGGTAAGGAGATTTCTCTGAGTTCCAAAGACGATTTAGGCCACAGTAAATACTTTTCCCCTCTAAAGAACATTGGTTAGGGTCAGATAACTTATATCGGCATAATGTTGGGCATAATGTTATAGTAAGTGACTTCATAAAAATCCCTTGATGTTACAGTTTACCAAGAAATTAATTCCATCCTGAGTGCTGTCAACAGGAAGCCTACTTTTCTTGCTTGCACTTGAGGAATTTGTTCAGTAAAATGTTTATTTTCTGAACTTCGGTAAGCATTTTATTGTTAGCAAGTGCTACCTGTTGGTGGTAGGAATACGGCAGGGGTACGGGAGGTCGAGGGGTTCTTAAAAGCTGTTATTTTGAATTATCGAATTGAACAGAAAGAAAAATTTAAGCATAATTTTCGGCACGATGCCATGGGTGACGGTCAGAACGATAATGATCAAGTTTTCGCGCATAATTTATGTGAAACTTACTCTGGCTAAAAAAGAACAAGAACACATTTCATCACACTTACTGGCAAATATGCACATGTGATAATGCAATAATAGAAAGCAAAAAATAATTATATGCATGATGTTTTTTCTGTTGTTGTTTTTATTTTATTGACAATGAAATTGACCCTTTTGAGAAACCAATTTAGAAGAAAAACAACCAAAAAAAAGCACAAAGGCACTCCGCCTTCGGTCTCTTGCTTTCACCAGTTTCTTCGTGTTTAGAAACCCTGATAAGACACTCCCTCGTTTATGAATTATTACATAACAATCGAGAACGAACCAACAAGAACCAAATGCCGCTCTAAATTTAAACCACACAACACAAGTCTACAATTTGCTTCATTAAAATGCATTAACAGATTTTGAATATAAAAGTCTATCACGCCGCCTTATGATAAGCACGGATCAATCAAACGGTTTTCAAAAAGTTTTGAGCTATTTTGGAATCGATCGAGAATGTACATGAATATCATAATCGACCAGAGTACAAATGAACATCATATCACAGACCATACCAAACTTATTTTCCTTCTCAATATGGCAAGTTTGATCAGAATACGGAAACTTCGAGGTCCCGATTTTTCTGACTAATTTCTCTGAAATTATCCTACTTGTATACGTAATAACATGATTTCGAGTGTAATTTGGTTGAAATAATTTGCAATTTGTAGTCTTTGAAAAATTTACCATAATTTATTGACACCAAATTGCAAGAAAAATCATGTTATTACTTTTTAATACTGCACATGGAAAAAAAAACGCAGAAAGTCAAGAGCGACGAAATTTTGAAAGCGTGCGCGCGCTACTTGTAATTTGCACTCGTGTTACAACTTTGCAATCGTGTTACAACTTCGCAATCGTGTTACACGAGAATGCAATCGTTTTCAGCTAACCAGTGCGTAATTTTCTTGCGCATTATTAATTCGATTAAACGCCGCGGCGTCTCAAATTCTGTACCATTAAAACACATCAACAGAGTTTGGAGATGAAAATCTATCGCACCGCCTCAAAATCAGTGATCAAAACAAACGGTGTTCAAAAACTTTTTTTCTGTTTAAGAATTGATTCAAAATATATGAATACCGTAATCGACCAAAGAGGCAAAGAATGTTGGGAAGTTAGGGTGAAAATAGCTTAGGCAAACTCGCTGAGCTTATCGGCAATAAGATTCTTGGATCACAAACTGAAAGCTTTCGTCTTTGATGTATCATGCCTTGCTGCTGCATCGTCTACAGACAGTCACGGTATTTTCTCTCTAATTAACTCCAACTGTAACTGTCACTCTATCTTCAACTACTTTCGACTACAACTCCACCTACAACTTATTACTATTAACCAAAAGCTACGTGCCTATATTCTAATTTAGTTATTATCTTATAACCTTAGGAGTCATTATTAAGAAGACATTTCAAAGAGAACACAAAGTATTCGCGCAAAGTAACCATCGGATTGTGGCGAAGTTTCTGATCCTCGCTGCTTTCTTTATTTTTCTTGTCCAAACCAGGAGTCAGTTCAGTGGGAACAACTACGAGTCCTCAACAACAGAATCCACAAACTGGCGCTGACAAAGACCCATGTGAGGTACACTTGGCGCTTAAAGCTCGATTATTTATTTAAAAAAATCGCGGTTTTCCTATGTTTACATCACGAATCTTTCAATTGTGAAATCTTTACCACACATGTCTGCCAAGCTAAATGCTATTAAAAGACAAAATTGGCATCTGACAAGAATTTTCTGTATATGTGTATTAAACTTATTTAAGTGTTGGGAAATGAATGGAAATAATATATCGTCATAAGCCATTCAGTAAAAAAAGGCACCATGAATCTTGGATCCCAAAATCTTATTTTATGTAACATATCTTGCTGCCACAACCCTAACCCTAACTAACTCTCACTAACTACTGTCACCAAACAGATATGCAAAGATATTCTCACTTAATCGTGTTTTCATAACCTTGACACCACACGTGTGCTCTAGGCGAGTTAGCGGCACATAAGAGAGTGAAAAATAATTTGAAACATTGAAGGCTTGCATTCTAGAGATAAATTCCGTTATCTGAAAAAAAAAACAGATGTGACGCTCACGCTGATGGCCTTGTAGTAAAATGAAACACCTAAAATAGTAGTAATTATAGAAACATCACTTTCGAGAACAAACCAAAAAGAAACACAAAAATATCGTTCTCAATTTTAACTTCACAACATAAGTCTGCAATTTGTACCATTAATACACAAAAACAGATTTTGGAGATGAAATATATCACACCGCCTCAATATAAGTATGAATACCGTAATCGGCCATAGAACAAATAAACATGATATCAGGCGCTTCAGAGTCCGCAGAAACGCTCTCCTGAACATCTAAGGGCTTGACCGCTTTTATCCTGCCGCAGTTTGTTAATTAAACACTGTTATCTGTGATATTTTAGAACGGGTCAAACCAACCAATGTTATCATAGGCGTAAGGGCCTTTTTTGCCGGGGGGGGGGGGGGGGGAGAGGGAGTGAATAATTTAGTGAAAATTCTTGCAAGTTGCCTAAATTATTATGAAACAGTCAAAGAGTTCAGATGCCGATTTTGTAAAATTTGGCATTGCAGAAAAAAGCTTTCTTTATTAGGTGTTTCACTGTGGCAGATGTTTCCCAAGGCACAGATTATTTTTTTAAAACCTGAGCTCAAGCTCGGTCAGCACCGTACTGGCGTACGGTCTGTTTGGTCACGTCGGCATTTCTCCAACTGCAGATGACATCGACCATCTTCCGTAAAGATATCGGCACAGATTATAAGTGTTGCTCAGAATTGCTCTCAGCACTCACAGTCCGGAGATGAATTTAACTGACTTTACCACGCCTACTTAAACCGTAAAATAAAAAAAATATCTTTCAAAGAAAAAGAAAGACGAAACGAAACATGGAAACTTTTGTAAAAATTAACTTTGCCAAAATTTCTCTTGCTGCTCAAAAGATCTGAGTTGCCCAAAATTTGGGGGAGGTAGGGTTGGCAGTCCCCAGCTCCCTCGGCCTGTACGCTTATGGGTGCTCTATCACCTGTTTCTTCAATCAAACACGTTAAAGTTTCAGATAAATTTCATATCAGTCAGACGTCTGGTTAAAGCGTGACTGTATGTGTGGTAAAGTCTGCATGATAAGAGAGATCGTGGAAAGATTAAGGTACGGAAATATGCAGAAAATGCAATGAAAAATAAATTAAGCGTTAGAGCCAATTTGTCATGTCCATCTCTGAAAAAGACTTTTGAGAAAATAAAAATATCAATGAACAATTTTGTGCATTCAAACAGGCGGAAAAGTACAAGGTCATCATCAAATTATTTCCTGTAACATTCTTATAAAACCTTTTTTTTTCCACTAAGACTGTCTTCTCGGCATATTTTAAAGGATTGTTCATTCAACGAGTTGCAGTCTGATACAACTATTCTAATTGTTCACATGGCTAGAAATCGAGGTCAGTCAGCGGCTGATGTCGCGGA